AGCCTCCTGCAGCCCTCTGCCAGCACAAACAGAGCTCAGGGAGGGGTGTATGTGCCCCCCGAGTTCTGTTTGTGCAAGCAGAGGGATGCAGGAGGCAGTCGCAGCTGAAAACGGAACCTGGGAGCCTCCTGAGTTCTGTTTTCCCTGGCAGAGGCACTACAGGCTAGTCCTTTGCTGTTTTCAGGGCAGCCCCATGGGCCAGATATAAGCACCCTCCGGGCCTCATCCAGCCCACTGGCCTTGAGTTTGACACCCATGCCCTATAACATTCTGTACAAATGACTTTCCAATCTCTTCTTAATTCTGGAGGCAAGATGTTCTACTCATTAATTATTCTCAATGCCAGGAAATTTCTCCTTAGATGTAGGTTGGCTCATTCTTTGGAAAGTTTCCAACTGTTACTTCCTGTCCTGTCTTCAGGTGCTTTTGGATGATCGGTTGACCCCATCCTCTCTATGGCAGCCCCTCAAATGTTGGAAGACTGCCATCATGTCACCCTCGTCCTTCTCTTTGCTAGAGTAGACATATCCAATCCCTGCAGCTGTTTAACACGTTTTAGCCTACACAACTGAGAAAGAGCGTTGGGCTTACCTGAAACATATCTTCTAGTTGTACGGGAGGAGAATCCAAATCCCACCCTTAGTTAGTCCCGAGCTCAGAACAGTCAAGAACGAGCACCAAAGAACTCTCCAAGTCAATCATCAGCCTTCATCAAAAACTGGGCATGCGCAGTGGAAAGGGGGCTGGACTAAACTTTGATTGACTCCGTCTTTACGCAAGGAAGCAGGAGACATCTGTGTTGTTCTTCTCTGCACTCTTTCTAGAATCTCAACATCTATTTTGTATTTCGGCAACCAAAGTTGAACACAGTATTTCAAGTGTGTTTTTACCGGTGCAGGATAAAGCAGTACTAATACTTCATGTGGTCTTCATGTTATCCCTCTGCTGATGCAGTCCAGGACTGCCTTGGCTTTTTTGGTAGCTGTAGCACACTGCTGATTGTCCATTAGGATTCTAGCTCCCTCTCCCAGTTACTGCTGTTGAGCCAGGTATCATCTATTCTATACCTGTGCGTTTGGTTTTTCTTGCCTACACTTATTCAGGCTGGATATGTCATGCAAAGGCCATGCCAACCCCTGCTCCACAAAGGCAAAAAACATCACAATACATCACAATCCAGTCTGTGATGTGATCAGGTTTGACACCCATGTTCTAAAATGTTGGGTGTTCCCCACAGCTTGATGTCCTCTGCAAATTTGATGAATTTCCCTTCTATCCCCTCATCTAAATCATTTTTGAAGATGTTAAGAGTACTGGGATACCCGCTACATGCTTCCCTCCCTGTAGATGTAGTTCCATTGAGGACTACACCTGGAGTGTGGTTATCAGCCAGTTTTGTATCCATGTGGTGTTGAGGCTATCTATCCTACATTTTTCTATATTACTAAGAAGTAGGCAATTGTATGCTGTGGCCTTACCAAGTCCAAGCACACAATTGCCACAGCATTTTGCTGGTTCACTAATTTAGTCACTTTGTCAAAGAATGAAATAAAATTTGTTTGGCATGATCTATTTTTGACAAACCCATGTTGGCTTCTGATTATAATTTCATTTGCTTCTAGGTGTTTGCAAATCTGTTGCTTGATAATCTTTCCCAGGATCTTCCAGCCAGGTATTGATGCCAGACATTGGTCTATAGCAGAGGTTTCCAAACTTGGCAAATTTTAAGACTTTTGGACTTCAACTCCAGTCCACAAGTTTTAAAATTGCCAAGTTTGGGGACCCCTGGTCTATAGTTTCCTGGATCCATTATTTTTCCTTTTTTGAAGATTAGAACCATATCAGCTCTTTTTCAGTCCTCTTGGTAGTTCACCAGTGCTCTAGGATCTTTGAAAGATATGGTTTTATAAGTACTGATTAAAATTAGTCTAAGAGATCATGACAAAAGCTTAAAAGCCAGCATTGGCAAATTGAAATTAGCATGAAACTCTCAAAGCTGACCTATGCCTGAGCAATATGAACAGACATTAATAAGGCTCATCAGTACATAATATCCGTGAAAGCAAGAGGGGAAAATACTGGTGGCTTGTTTAAAGGAAGCACTTTAATAATACTATTTTCATATGTAAAAGCTTGTAGTAGAACATTTCTAAATTTCTTTCCAGAAATATTTATCTGATGAACTGGAACATTTTTTTTTTACACAGTCGTAATTCTGTGTGTCTGAATAGTGGCTTACCTATGTTTGTTTTCTTTACATGTCTTAAAGTTTTATGAGTAAAAAGGAAAGTTTTATGTGTAAAAAGGAAATATTGAGCCTTATGCTTGATGATAAAGCCCACTCAGTTGATAGGCTTAGCCAAGATTAGGTATGAAGAAATGCAGAAGTAAAACCAGCCTCACATGCTTGTATTAATGGATCCTCTGACTTGAAGATGATGGTTATCAAGAAAAAGAAGTTATGTCTGCCTGTCTACCTTACTGGGTACATGACTGTACATATTTTCTTCATGAGGGTGTCTACCCTTACTCCCCCTCCATCCCCACTCATTGTGTGGAGAAAGGGCCACGCTTCTTACTAAGCAACTCTGTGTGATAAATGAGACATTCTTTTCTCAGGATGTCCTTTTACTGTATGTGCTTTTGCTACTCAGGAATGTTAAGAAGTAAAGGACCCAATGGATGGAAATGCCAGGCTAAGGTTGGGGATGGCAGCAAGAGGGAGCAGAGTGCCAACGTTTCAGATCATGGCTTTTTCTAGCCCCACCTGGTGACTCCAGGCCGTGGACTGATCTGAACTTTTAGGCAGCAGCACAAGGGATTGTTCTTCTGTACCATCCTACTCTGAAGAGAAATCTGCTTAGATCTCTTAAATTAAATAAGTAATGAACATGTACTCTAAGATAATATAATCCTATAACATACATACACCGAACGGCTGAAGACAAATACTGTTTGAAATGTGTGTTTTTCTTACAATGCTCCTTTGCCTAGGTTTATAGCGATCCTGATGGGCACTATGATAATATGAGATAAGCAGCTTGGTGCTCTTTAGAGTGATAGATCACCTATGTAATGCCAGGTCACTGTCCACGTCAGTTGGGACTTCAAAGAGTTCTGGCCCAAAGAATTTGGGAGGTTGGAGTGGGGGTAGGGGTACTCCTCCCAAACTTAGGCTATTGACTATTTCAGGAAACTAAGATGTCCTATGCTCCTTCCTTTTATGCCGATGCGGGAAAAGAGCACACTAATTTACTTCGGAGCCTAGAAATTACAAATCAACATACTTCTCCCGAGGATCACATTCAAATATTTTGAGGGGCTTTTACAGAGCCCATCAAAGCAGAGATGCCACTTGGGCAAGGCAGGAGGAGATCATACTTGGCGGGGCTTCATGCACTCGACTGAACTTTAGCGTAAGTGAAATCGAAGCTCTGCTGGCAGGTTGAAAACGGCGCTCCTGCCTCGGACGGAGCATCGCAGATCCAGGAGCCGCCTTTCTTCTGGCTCCGGCTGCCCCTGCTCGGCCCCATCGCCCGGCTGCTCCATTGGCGCCTCACCTGGCCCGCTCCCTCGCCCGCTTCCGCTCCGGGGCCGGCGGAGAGAGGGCGAGAGCAAGCTCGCTCGGGTTCCCGCCACGAGTCCCGCGGGCGCCAGGGCTGAAGGTGCTGCGCTTGGCCTGCACGCCTCCTTCGGCTGAGCGGTACCCGAGCCGGCCGCCCCTCAGCTCTCCGACGGCAAAAAGAAGAAAAAAAGAAACACGGCCGCACGTGGCTGGGCTCCGGGTCTGAGCCACGCCGGGCACCCTCCCCAACCGCTCGGGTGCTGGGCAGGGGAGAGGGGCGGCCGCGGGAGCGGGGTAGTCGCAGCTCCTGCCCGCCCGAGAGCAGCGGAGAGTGACAGCAGCCCGCCCGCCAGGCCAGCTTCGGGCGAAAGGCGGGCGGGCGAGGGCTCCCTCTCTCTCTCCTCGGCTCAGCTCGGTCTTCGCTGCGGCGCGCGTGTCTTCCCGGGCGGGAGCGGGGAGGAGCCCTTCAGGACTGTCAAAGCCACCAGGACCCGGAGAGAAAAGGAGCGAGCTAGAAACGGTCGAATCGATCGGGGAATCAGACGGCACGGGCACTTAGAAACTGTCAAATGGCCCAGAGAGAGGAGAGAGAGAGAGAGAGAGAAGGGGAGGGACGCTGAGGCAAACTCTGCGCTGAGGCAAAGCGGCGCTTGGCCGCCTCAGAAGTGCAGAAGCCCGGAGGGGCTCGGGGGAGCGCCAGGTGGGGCAGCCCCCGAGGCGGGACGAGGTCGAGGGTAGCAGCGGACGCTTCTCCCTCGCCATCCCCCGCGGCCACCGCTTCGCCCGAGTGCCTGAACCGTCCCTCCCCGTGTATTGTTACGAGCGCCTCCTCCCCTCGGGGCCCGGGGCCGAAAGCCACCCCGCTCCCGCCTGCCGCGGGAAGGTAGCGCGCGGGGTGGGGCGTGGGGGGAAGGAAAAAGGGGACTTTGTTTCTTTAAGGGGCTGTCAGATGCCTCCTCCGCACGCTCCCCCCCTCCCCCCCCATCTGGGCGCCCCCTCCCCTCCCCGCTTCAAAGAGCGCTGCCAGCCTTTAAAAGGTTTGACACCCGGGAGAGGCGAGCGCGGTCGGAGTGCTTCGCCCTGACCCGAGCAGAGCGCGGAGAAGTCCGCTCGCTTTCCCCTGCCGGTGACAGCCCTTTTGCCGAGAGCTCTTTTGTTGCCTCCGCAGCCAATCAAGGCTTTTTACGACACAGTTCAGTTGGGATATAAAAGGAGAGTCCTTCTTTCTTCCCCCCCCTCCTCTCCTTCCCCCAACCAGCAAGTCGCCCCCCCCATCTCCAACCCCAAAGAACTTAGCGGCGGCGGCGGCGGCACCACCCCCCAAGCACCCAGCAGCTGCAGCCCATCATCCCGAGGCCGAGCCAGAGCGATTGTGCTCCGCGAGAGAAAGGAGCGGGGCTTGCTTGGCTGGGGAGCGAGCGGAGAAGCGCCAGACATGCCGGTGCCCATGTCGACCGTCTTCTGGGGCTTCCTGGTCCTCTCCCTGGAGTTCTGCGCGGGCGAGCCCGGCGAGAAGGCGCCCACGGAGGGCGTCCCCTTGGTGACAGAAGCCGAGGACCAGAGCTGCCCCGTGTGTCTTTGGCGCAAGCACAGCAAAGAGATGAGGCTGGAGAGCATCAAGTCGCAGATCCTCAGCAAGCTGAGGCTCAAAGAGGCGCCCAACATCACCCGCGAGGTGGTGAACCAGCTGCTGCCCAAAGCCCCGCCGCTGCAGCAGATCCTGGACTTGCACGACTTCCAGGGGGACTCCTTCCAGCACGACGACTACCTGGAGGAGGACGAGTACCACGCCACCACCGAGACTGTCATCAGCATGGCTCAAGAAAGTAAGCCGGGGCTTCTTTGTTAAAGGAAGCAGGAGCCGGGCTGCCTGCAGCGGCCAAGCGCAACTTTCGCCGCCGCGGGCTTGGGGGAGGGAGGAGCAGGAGAGCCAGCAGCCGGCCAGCCAGCCGCTTCGCCTCTGCGAGTCTTGGGGTTTATTGTTTATTGCAGCTCGGCAGAAACCGCTCCCAGAGCAGCAGCAGCAGCAGCAGCAGCAGCGCTGGCGTCGCCAGGGACCTCCAAATCAAAGGGAATGGGTGGGCTTCTTTGCTGCAGATGGCTGGGTTGTTCCCGGGTGGTGGGGGAGAGAGCGAGAGCGAGAGCTGACCAGGTGTGAAGAAGGCATCCGCACTAAGTGCCCTCCATCTCCGCCTGGGCCGGCTTTCTTTGAGTATTTTTGAAGGACTGATTTCACTGTCAGGTTAGTTTAATGCTTAACCCGCCCCCGCGTGCTAGAGAGCAAATGTCAGGCAGGGTCAGATCGGAAAGGTTGAGTTTGAATGAAAGGCCTCTGTTCCTCAAAATGTTCCTCCTGGCTTTCTGTGTTGGGGTGGGTGGGTGGGTTAGGGGGAGAGAAAGAAGATTGCAGAAACCTAATGCTTTCCCCTAAGTTGTGCAAAGTTCTTCACCCAGCAGATGCGCTAGAAGAGAAAAGCTTTCTGCTTTGTGCAGAAAGTGGCTGCGTCCAGTTTGGCAACAGGAACATATTGTGCAAACTCATCCCTGTTGAGAGCTTTTGGCCCTACTGTTCTGTGGGTTTGGAGCTTAAAGTGTGTGTCTGTGGAGGTAGAGTGAAGGGGAGGGGACGGGGGAGGGGGGGGTGCAGGATGTCAGTGCGTAGATTAGTGTTGTGTGAAAAGTACTTCTTGCCCAAACCAAATAAACCTAAGAAAGGTCACAGAGAGGTTCTGCTCCAGAGCACAGTTGCCGAAAGGTGTCATGATTCTGAAAGGCCTCTGCCAGTCATGCTCTCTTGCAAACAGAAAGGGGAAACAGCATTTCTCCCCGCTGGAGAGGGTGGCTCCTTTCTCTCCCCCTGCCAAGTTAAGGCATAATCCCTTTTGTGAGTGCCTTTCGCCAGCTGCAAACACTCAGAAGTTTGCCCAGCCAGCAGAGCGTTTGCAATATCCAGCTGCCTCCCTCCTCATCAGGCTCCCTCCTTGTTCTCTTTCCAGGTCTGCCAAAATCCACGGGCCCTTTGTACTTCTCCCGTTTTATTATAACCTCACATTGAATGGCATTTTTTCCGTTTGTGAAAAGAAAAAAAAAACCCCAGTTAAAAGTAAATGTTTCCTAGAGCTTTGAGAAAACAAGCAAGCAAGAATGGCTGGGGAGTGACAGGCCTATGTGCGATGCAATATTTCTTTCTTGCCACCCTTCCCTTGGCTGGTTTGCTTGCGAGTGGACCGAGTGTGGAAGTCCTTATGCAATATTGATCCTATGGGGACCCTGAAGTTACTGAGGTATATTTTCAGGAGTTGCAGCGGTTGGAACTGGCATTGCCAGATACCTGTTAGTTTCAGGCTCCTCTAACAGGGCTGCTGCTGTGACGGTTGCTTCCTTGAGAGTTCTGCTCTCTGTTAAAGCATAAAGGGCAATTTAATAAATGGCAAGTAGTGGGAGTGAAGAAAAGACAAATCGATCCCCTAATTTCTGTGACAGTTGTACAATTGTACAATTGATAGGGGATTGTAGGAGCACTTTTCTTGCTGCCTGATGGACAAGATATGTCTTGGGGGGGCGGGGGAGGGGTCATTCTGAGATTTATCCTGGGGAGGAGGATGCGTATGCTCTCTCTCTGTCTCTCCTCACCACGATAAATCTCAAAATGATTCCTCCCTCAAGACTTTAGCTTGCTCAGTGGGTACTGCAATTCCAGCATAAAGGCCCTTTTAATTTTCTTCTAGCTCAATGACAGCAGTCTAACACAACTCTGCATGCTCAGCCAGTAAATAATAACTTCATATTCAGGGATAAATACTTTGAATTATATATTTGGCTGGCCATTACAAATAGAGAACAATGTGTGGTTTATTTGTGTACAATTTTCACAGGGGTTGAGTTATCAAACATGATAAGATAGACAATCTGGTTCCTGCAACACACTCAAGCCAATATCTAATAAAACACATAATGTTAATATGGTGTATGTGCCAGTTTAGGCTTCGTGCAATACAGCAAGAACATTCTTTTTAAACAAGTGAAATCTCGCAGTATCCTTCAGGGGGAAAAGGTGTACTGGAGCCTGAAATGAAGAGCAAATGCTGACTAATTACAGTTCTGCATTATGAATCTGCAGCTTTTCTGCCTTCTTTGCTAGCTTTGACTTCAGGGAATAACCTCTGTGGTTCATAATCCTTATATTCAAACATGAGACAAGAGTCACTGAAACTCTATTGTGCAAACAAATCTCTCTAGGGCTAAGCTCACATACATACATCTGATGCCTGCAAATCAAGCAAACTTCCCTCCATGAATACTTAGGTGTCATTCACACATTCACCTTCATTTCCTAGTCACTTTTTAGGTATGCTCCCTTCAGCTAGAGACCTCTGCAGCTCCAACTTTTAGGGAAGCTTTCCATCAGAGGAATGCAGATACTGCCACCAAGGAGGAACAATTCAAAATAACTTTTCTTGCAGTTTTCTATAGCACTTCAACTAGTTTTACAAAATTCAGAACAGTTGGTACAATATTCAGTTAAAGAATGCTGGATAGCAGCAGTATGCTTGGACAAGAATGATATGTTATATTCTATTATAATTATATTCTATTCTATATGTTATATTCATATTATAAAATTAAGTGGAGATGAGAGCCATTTATTTACCATGCTGAAAGCAGTTAACATAGACCAGGGGTGTCAAACTGGTAGCCCGTGGTGGGCCAGATGCATCATGCGCAGGCAGCTTCGCAAAGGGGAAAAATGTGAAATGTCACGATGGCAATGTGATGCGGCAAGTTTGATACCCATGGCACAGACCCTCTTCCCTATGAGCTATATGTGTTAGCCTTATTGGTGCCTCAAATTGCAAAAGCAGCATCCTTTAAAGTGCTCGTTCTACCATTTTGCCATTCATACTTGTGTAAGATAACTTATATAAGCTTTTCTGAGTCAAACAATTTCTTAGACAAACAATCAATTTTGGACATTAAAGAAACAAATAATAGGATAGAAAATTTCTCTACATTCACTGTCTGTCTATAGGCACTGTCTTTTCTTATAGGGTAGGAAACTGTGACTTCTCAAATACTGCTGCTGTAGCCAGAAAGTCTAATGTTGTGGGATCCTAGCAATTATAACTCAGCAACACCTGAAGGATAGAAGCTTCTTATCCCTCCATTATCTTTTTTTTTTTTTTTTTGGGTGCCTTCAAGTCAGGGTTGACTCCAGGCAACTGCCTGGACTAATCCCTACTGTTCTCTTGGCAAGGATTTTTGGAAATGGGTTGCTTTTGCCTGCTTCCTAGGGCTGAGAGAGGGATTGGCTCAAAGGTCAACCAGTTGGCTTTGGGCTTATGGCATAACTGGTTGACCTTTGGATCTATGGTGGGATTAGAATATGGTCTCCCAGTTTCTAGCCTTAACCACTACATGGAACTGTCTCTTTCATTATCATTTACAACAGGGTATAACTTAAATCTCAAGGCTGAGAATAAAGGGCACTGGAGTCGTTCTGTAATTGCAGTGAGATGAGATGTATTTTAAGGGGGCTGCCACAAAGAGGCAGGTGTGTGTGTATGTCTACCTATTTTCCAAAGCACCTGAAGGCAGGACAAGAAGCAATGGATGGAAACTAATCAAGGAGAGAAGCAACCTAGAACTAAGCAGAAAATTCCCAACAGTGAGAACAATTAACCTGTGGAACGGCTTGCCTTCAGAAGTTGTGGGTGCTCCATCACTGAACTTATCTGGAATGATGTAGGGTCTCCTGCTTCAGCAGAGGGTTGGACTAGAAGACCTCCAAGGTCCCTTCCAATTTTGTTCTTTTGATATGTTATTTGGTTAGAATATGAAGTCCACTGAATGTGTCCTAATATACTGATGAATATACTCTTGATCTCTGATTTCTAGAATAATGATAGAATTTTAAAGTATCGCCTGATATATCACAGCAAAAATGACCTTGCAAATAAATATCCCTTAAGAATTAGCATAATATTATAAGGATTAGAAAACTGGAAGAACTACCGGTATGTTTTAAAAACTGGTAAGAATTAGAGAATTGGAGAGTTGTTAGTATAATATGAGTCAGATATTCAGGCTAATATATTATCAGTGAAGTCACTATGAGACAGGTGCTTAGGTCATTTGCAAAAATCAATCTATTGATAAACTCTGAGCTGGAATGGTTAGATAGATGAAGGGTACTGTCAAACATAAGGGAATATCTGAAAAACTCCTTATCCATATTCATCTTGTTTGAGGAACACATGCCACAACCCCCTAATATTGCTGAACTGTATCTTTAAGCATATTTCACTATGGGCCCTAGTTGGCTTGTATTCCTGAGGTATTTTTTCAGCAAAATTTAGAGTTGTAGGTTCTTCATTATTGATTGAGGGAATTGTCTTTTTTACTGTTTGGAATTAAAGCATTACACAAAAGCGTACACGATTGCATTGTACTGAAAGTAGGCGGAGTTGAAAATATGAGTGAATCTTGCAATTTCTTTCATAATTATTACTCTATCTAAGCATTTTAATGGTATTTTAAAATTCAAAACTGAATGAGGATTTGAGTATGTATCATTGGAATAGCAGTCTGTTTAACTGTTACTATTATAAATGAATATAATTTCTTATTTTCTGGAACAGCCTGGCTGGATAGAAGTGGTATCTGTATTAAGGAATATAATTCCTATCTTATCAAAGGCAGAAAATGACTGTATGCTACTTCAGTGGAAAGAGCAAAATAAGAGAAGTGCCTCTTATGATATATTTATTTGTTATTATAGGGTAAGCCTGGGGTCTACAAGACCCCATCTTATTGCAGAGATACAATG